CTGTTACTGCATAGATCGACTATCTCCGGGTGGTCCATGGTAGTTTTCTTGCTGAAAATTCCAAAACAGAGCCTTATCTACCTTAAGATATGAATATCCATATATATATATATATATATATATATATATGCGCAAAATAATCCTAAGGTCGGGCAGCAGCTTGCAGAACTCCTAACAGTAAATTAAGTCTTAAAGCAAACAATAGTTCGGTGGTTTATGCTTATAATCACCCCTCGATGATACTTGGTGTCGTCGCTTCAACTTCTTCGGCTGGAACGGGTAGACACGGGCCTTTTGGGTCTTCGGGGTCATCATCTTCGGACTCGCTGTTTCCTGTTGAGGAGGAAGAATGGAAAGCTTTTAAATCTGCGATATTGGCTAACCGCCCCTTTCGTTCGCCGGGGAGGCGTAACCGAACGATATTGGGAGAGGTGAAGGCCACAACTTTATATGGTCCATCAAACTGCGGCGCTAACTTGGCCGCGAATCCTCGGAAGCCTTTGAAAGGTGGTATTGTCGCACCAAAACAAAGGATCCTAGGACCGGACGCCATTCCCTGCGGCGGAGATTGTACTGACTACCCTGATCCTTGCTCGCTCTCTGTATGTTCCCCTGGACGATGCTTTAGATTTCTCGTAAGTGGTCTCTCTGTGTGGGCGTCTGTGGTACGGTTCCCGTTCCCGGGGTGACTTGGTCGTACCAAGCTTTGGGTAACCGCGGTTCTCTGCCTTGTAGCAGGAATGCCGGGCTGTATCCTGTCGAGTCGGAGGCACTAGAGTTCAATGCAAGAGTGATTTCGGGGATGAGAGTGTCCCATGTGTTTTGCTGGTCGCCTAGATACTGCGAGATCATCGTCTTGATCGTACGGTTCGCCCTTTCGGTGGAGTTTTCGCGAGGACAGTAGGGTGCTGTATACTGGAGTTCTACTCCTATACCTGATAGAAAGGTTCGAAATGCTTTGCTAGTAAATTGGGTGCCATTATCGCACACCATTTTCTTCGGTGCTCCAAAGTGACCTAGGACTCGTTCACGGAAGGCTCGAATTAGAGACGCCGAGGTTGCTTTATAATTATACCCTATTTAACTCCACGATAATATAGCTTTCTATCGATGAAACAATTTTTTAAATCAGACCAGTAGTTCCGGAGCCTATTCGCTGCAAACAAACAAACAAGCAAACAAACAAACAAATTTTACCTCTTTATAATATAAGTATAGATGGGGGCTGTATTATAAATGTCGCTTTCAAAATGTTTGCTGGGTATACCGCCTTACGTTACGGGCATATGTACGTACATTAATAAGCATGTGTTGTAAATGTCGCTTTCCAAATGTTTGCTGGGTACATACATTAATAAACATGCATTTGGTTTATACATATGTGTGTATGTATGGATATGTGTGTTTGGGGGACTTGGAAATACCCTGCAGTTCCAAAATAGCTTTTTCCTATATGAAATCCGCGAGGGAGCACTGAGGAAACGGGGTACGAAGGTATGCCCGCACCGAGGAATTGCGCGAGGAATTTTGTATGGGATTCAAGTTTTCTTCATAGGTGCAGCTCTCGATGAACTTTTTGGCCGTTTCATCGAACGATTCCTCGGTGCCTTATATGTACGAATTTTGTATGGAAAAAATTCGTATAAGGCATAGAGGAATTCGTAGCGGAAGTGGAAGCGGGGTTTTCCTCAAGGATCGCCCTTAGGGAAATCATATATGCCAATGTTCAAAATTTCATCCCCAAATTCATATGAAAAACAATATATATATATATTTTTTTATTTTATTTTATAAAATACCTTATTTTTGAACATAAGAGATAAGCACATTAAAAATATGAAATTCGAAAGTTTTTGTTTATCATTTATGTGGAGTATTTGCAGAACATCGGCTGTTTTGCGTCCATCTATGGTACAAAAAATATTTTCGTTATTACATATTTAATTTTTTAATTTAGCGCAAACTTACCTTTCAAACGAATTTATCAGACATACATGTGTATGGCTTAATCCTAAAAAGATTTAAATAAGTTTGTAGTAAAAAACATAATATTTTTGTAATATTAACGACACTTACATGATTTTTAAACATTTCCGCTTCCCGTTGCACAAATTAAGAAATTTGACAACATATTGTCAACGCACTACGCAAAAGAATGACGCAGCTCAATTTTATTTTTCATCCTTTTAGTATACCCTTCTTTTTAGATATAACCGACCATAAATGACACGGGAGTTATATTATATGTATCCACATACATTTGTAATCAATGTTATAGTTACCTAGGTTTCATAATTTAAATAATATTATATATATATATACATATATATATAATATATTATATGTTATATTATATTTATATTTGAAGAACTTTAACATCAGAAGAGTATACATAAGTCGAGCGCCCCTCAGCCGTATTTTCCATCGAAACCCAATTTTTTGTTTCTGACGGAGAATGACAACAGTGCAATTAGAAAAACGAAAGAATAGAAGACAAATTTGGAGTCGGGCCGCCGTCGGGTGCAAGCAACGAAATCGTATTATAAGAGTGAGGAAGAGAGGGAAACTTAGGAATATCCCTTTTCCTTTCCTACACACATGATTGGCAATTGCCAAAATTCACTTGTGAACAGCCGGAACTGCAGGGTATATTCTTTTTTTTTTATATATATAAAAATGGAGACAAAAAATGTGCGCAATCGCATCACATGAAAACGGCTTGACCGATTTGGCTGAAAATTGGTATGGAGATACATAGCTTAGAACCAGAAGAAGGTTATAGCATAAGAAAATTTTGGGAAAACCTTCTGGAAAAGTCGCTAGCGGCTCAACAGATGTACACAATGTTGTATGCAAAAAAAAGATCATAGCTGCGTTGATATTGTGTATGGATGAAGTCGGTAAAAAAATATTTAAACAAAAAAATCGAGCGAGCTTAAACAATTTGAAATAATGCCTGCTGTTAGACGATTAGGACTTGGACGGCGTTCGCGCAGTGTAATAAATAGTCAGAATTTCCGTAATAGTCGGACGCAAGAGGAACGTGCAGAAATAAATGCATCGACACGTGCCCGAATGGCACAGCTTCGCGCTGCACAAAGCCTACCTCAAGTCCTACAAAATAATATAGGATGAAGCGACCAACTAACCGACAGAATTTTTGAACTCACTGGATGTGCCAGGAACTCCGCCGCATAATTAGCAACTGAAGGTGGGATCAGTTATTATAATGCTACGGAATCTAAATCATCCAAAATTTTGCAACGGTACGCGGTTGTCCGTGAAGAAACTAATGAACAACGTGATTCAAGCGACGGCCATCAAGGGTAAATTTAGAGGAGAGGAAGTTCTTATCCCAAGAATTCCGATTATTCCATCAGATCTTCCATTCAAATTAAAGAGGATTTAGTTCCCAGTTCGATTGGCATTTGCGATGGCAATCAATAAATCGCAAGGCCAGTCGTTGGAAGTCTGCGGGATAAATCTGGAAAATCAATGTTTTTCACATACGTAGACTGTTCGCGTGTCGGGAAGTCTTCATCATTATTTCTTTTTGCACCGGATAACAAAACAAAAAATATTGTTTATCACATCGCTCTCCAATGATTTCGAGTCAAAAAAATTTCACAGAAGATTTGAATTACCAGTGTTCTATTATTACTATGGGGTTATATGAAATCGTGAAATTGAGGCGAGACAAAGTTCGCCGGGTCCGCTAGTTATATTATATATTCGCACTTTATTATTTGTAATCTGCAATAATTTTGGAAATTGTATATATTGTGGACTGAATTGTAAATGTCGCTCTCAAAATGTTGGCTGGGTATACCGCGAATAGAAGTGTGTGAATGTTTCTCCTTATGTACATATGTTGAGATGGTCAGGCATATGTACGTACATTAATAAGCATGCATCTGGATTTTAGGTGTTTATGTATGTATGTAAATGGGGAAATATAAAGAGCAAAGCCGGAAAATGGGAATACGAAAAAGAAGCCTGAATATGGCGATCATATGAAAGTGGAAATGGCAATACGAAAAAAGAAGCCGGAATAACGCGATCGTATGAAAGTGGAAATGGCAATACGAAAAAAGAAGCCGGAATATGGCGATCGTATGCACAAATGGAATTAGCCGATCAGACAGATATAGAAAGAAAATTGGGTTCTTGGGAAATATCTGACTGGTCGGCCACGGAAATATGGAAAATTCATACTTATCTTGTGAAACTTGAAAACTCCGCCAGTGGTCGCTGGTGGTAATTGGTGCAAATCCCTCTTTCCAAATTATCCGGTCGATGGATCAAATATGTAATCATGGGGCGGGTCTTCCGGTGGTCTCAATTTAGATTTAGGGTAGAATAAGAACGCTGGCCGAATTTCGTTAAACGTTATAAAATTCACTTTTTATTCACTATTTTCCGACTTCGCGATTACAGGTGTAGATTAGAACTAAACTTAAAATTACGGGGTGGACATTTCAAGAGCGGCTTGGAGAGTGGAGTGGAGACCCTTCACAGTGCGAGAGAGCGAGATGCAAGCGATCTGGAAGAGCGGCTCCCACGACTGTTAAGGCTCCAGGGCCGGTTGAAATGGATCTGGAAAGCGCCGCTTTGGCGCGAACACTTGATATTTATAAGACGCGATTTTTCCTCTTTGTCGGTCAACTTTTTATCAATCCCAGTGAAAAAACAATAAGCGTTTTTATTGCCGAAACGAAAAACTTTGCGATTGCAGTGGTTAATTCTTTGCGATGGTTTTTAGTGAAAAGACGAAAACGAGATCGATACGAAAGTTACGCAGTGCGTACGACAGGGAGTTCAAATTTCAACTAACTTTTAATTCCAAAAATTTCACTTACATGCTACCTAAAATACTAAGCGGGAGAGCGGCGGCCGAATTCGCCTGAGCGATAAAGCTTTATTTAGGCCCCGATCCCCGCTTTACATAAACATCAGAGAGAAATCTCCAAACACCGCCCCCTCTGAAGGGACGACGTCCTTCAGGACAACGCTGGAAGAAGAGCCAGCCGATGGATGGCTCGCCTGAATACCCCATCTGCCGTCTTGATGTCCGCCACTCGGACCTTCCCGTCAGCGCCGACGTGCACCGCTACTACGCGCCCGATCCTCCACTGCTGGGGCGGCAGGTTGTCCTCGCCGACGACGACGAGCGCTCCCACGTCGACGTTGTGGACCTCCTTGGACCACTTTTGCCTCGTCTGCAGGCTGGAGACGTACTCCTGGGACCATCGCTGCCAGAACCTGTGCCTGAGCGACGAGACACTGCGCCATCTTCGCAAGCAGGTCGGGCTGATCTGGTCCGGGAGTGCCGACGGTGGTGGTGCGACTAGCGGGCCGCCGATCAGGAGATGTCCGGGGGTGAGGGCTTCGCCGTCGCTGGGGTCGCTGCTTAACGCTCCGATGGGCCTTGAGTTCAGCACCGCCTCCACGCTGGCGAGGAGAGTTCCGAGCTCCTCCGCGGTCAAGAGGTCGTGACCGACCGTCCGAAGGAACAGGTGCTTTGCAGACTTCACACCTGCTTCCCATATACCGCCGAAGTGAGGTGCTCTGGGCGGTATGAACGCAAACTCGCATCCTTTTTTTTGACGCGAATGCTTCGATACCGCCCCCTGCTCCTCCAGACGGGCCCGGAACTCTCTCAGATGTCGATCCGCGCCGACGAAGTTGGTCGCGTTGTCGCACCACACTTTTTCCGGAATCCCGCGACGACTCACGAACCTTTGAAAAGCCAATAAAAGTGCATCAGTGGTAAGGTCAGACACTAACTCTAAGTGGACCGCTTTGGACGCAAAACACACAAACAAGGCCACATATGACTTGTACGGTGGTTTACCACGGATGCGATACGTTGTGCTAAATGGCCCACAAAAATCGACGCCACAGATATTAAATGGGCGGAGAGCTCGGAGTCTGTCTGATGGCAAGTTCCCCATAATTTGCGTCAAGAGCTGCGGCTTGCATCGAAAGCAGCGCATGCACGAACGAACTGTTCGGCGACATACGTCTTGAGCATTGACCAACCAGACTTTCTCTCGCAGGAGACTCACAAGAGCTCGAGGACCAGCGTGACAATTTGTAACGTGCAGATACGACACGTAGGTTTTAACAAACTGTGAGCTTTTTGTTAGCAACAACGGAAATTTGGCTTCGTACGGGATGGGAGCATTCAATAACCGACCACCAACTCGCAATAATGTCGAAGAGCACCAATCTGATTTATTTTCCTGCACAAAGGGATTTAGCTTTTGAATTTGCGTTGATACCGGTTTCTTTTTCCGAATTTTGCCTATGTCGTCACTGAATTCGGGAGATTGGATGACTTTTACAATTTTCTCGAACGCAGAATTCAATTCTCTTGGCGTAATGCTTTTTTCGAAAGGCTGTCAAACTTTCTTACACCTCCGAATAAATCTGAAAACCCACACGAAAACTCTCAGCAGCTTCAGGTGCGACGAAAAGGACTCGATTTTCTGAAGCAGGTAGTTGGGCTCTGGTGTGACAACAAGAGTTAACGCCGACTTGCGTAACTCACTCGACACAACTTCTGAAGGAAGTTCGAAATGCTGATTTACAGGCCAACTACTTTCTGTGTCGAGCAAAAATGACGGCCCAGCGAACCAAATGGACGTTAAAAGATCTTCAACGTCACATCCTCGAGACACTATATCCGCTGGGTTAACGTGTCGCCAAATTGCATTCTCCGACCACTCTTGGATCTCAGCTACTCGGTTTGAGACGAAAACGGACAACGACGAAGGATGAGTTTTGATCCAATGCAGAGTGATCTCGGAGTCGGTCCATAGGACCACTTTTTTGATAGGGCAATTTAGTAATGGCCTTACACGATTAAGAAGATCTGCTAGAAGGTGAGCTGCACACAGCTCAAGGCGAGGCAAAGTTTTCGTCTGGAGGGGAGCTACTTTGGATTTGGCAGTCACTAATGACACTTTTAAACCTTCAGCAGTTTGAGTGCGAACGTAGATGCACGCTCCATATGCTCGCATGGAAGCGTCAGCGAAACCGTGTATTTCAATCGGGACTTGCGGATCTGTATGAACGAATCGCGATACCTTGACTTTGGGCAGTTGCAGCAGAGTTGCTTTAAAGGCTTCCCACGACGTTTGTAGCTGCATCGGTAGCGACTCGTCCCAATCTAATTTTCGAAGCCACAGCTCCTGTAGAAGCATCTTTGCCTTCGTGACCAAAGGACACAACAGGCCCAGTGGATCGAAAAGTCTCGCAGTCACGGAGAGTATGTTTCGTTTTGTCGGACGAAGATCCTGGAAAGAGTCATCCAACCGAAATTGGAAGTAATCTTTACCAGGTAACCAAACCACTCCAAGAGTTTTAGTCACATCTGAGTCAGCCAATAATGTCAAGATAGCGCTGTCAGATGCGGAGATCTCTGGGCAGTTCGAAAACCACTTTGCCAATTCGAAACCTGCCTTTTGCAAAACCTGAGAAACTTCCTCACGAAGGCTTTGCAGGTTCTCAACGCATCCGGCGCCTGTCAACAAATCGTCAACATAAAAATCTTCCTGAATGACTTTTGCGGCATTTGGATACTTAGCTTGCGCCATCTCTCCAAGCCGCATTAAACACCGGATTGCCATGAAGGGTGCTGGCGATGTTCCGTATGTCACGGTATTTAACCTGAAGATCTTCAGAGACTCAGAGGGATCTCGTCTCCACACTATGAGCTGATAGTTTCGGTCAGCTTCGTCCAGCATCACTTGGCGATACATCTTTTTAATGTCCGCTGCAAGGGCGAACCTGTGCATTCTGAACCAAAGTAGCGTCGAATACAGCTCCTCTTGAATAGTGGGGCCTACCATCAAGATATCATTCAACGCAACCTGCGTCGATGTGCGGCTTGAGGCATCGAACACCACTCTCAACTTGGTTGAGGTGCTTTGAGGCCGCAGCACGCATTGGTTCGGAATGAAATAGTGTGGGCCATCTGGAATTCTATTATCAGTAGAGGACATATGGCCCATTGACGCATATTCCTCCATGAAGTCCAGATACATTTTTTTAAGGAAGGATCTTTGGACAATCTCCTTTCCAGCGACAAAAATCTACGTTTCGCAACTTCATACGAAGAACCAAGAGAATCTTTGAGTATTCTTCTCAAAGTGTTGTTCACAAAGTTGCTGCTCAGGAGTATGGACTTTAGCCTTAGGCGGCAAGTCCTCCACAGACCAAAATTTCTGCAGGGTTGTGTCGATTGACTCCAACGCTTCTTCCTGGCAGCTGAGATGTACCGACTTTTCTGCCTTATTTTGGGAAGTTCAGGCCCCTGCTTTATCTGGCCGACTGACAGAATTTCAAAAAACGAATCTGCGCCGATAAGCATGTCTATTTTTTGGGGCTTGAAGAAGAATGGATCTGCCAAATTAATATTTTCAGGCACCCTCCACCCGCTGGTGTTCACCGCTTGATCCGGATGGTAACCAGAAATATTCTTTAAGATATAAAAATCGGACGACAACTGGCTGCTCCCTACTCGCGACTTCACTATTGTATGTATTTTCTTTGTTGCTTGGGCATTAGTTTGACCAATGCCCCGCAAGCTCATACACACATCCTCTCTTTTAATTTGTAGTCTCTGAGCGAGCTCGTCGGTCACAAAATTTATTTGTGAACCAGAGTCAAGCAACGCTCGAGCCACAAAAAAATTCGCCACTTTTCGATAATACGCTCACGATAGCTGTGGCAAGAACGACTCTATCCGAAGCAGTCGCATGCAAAACATGTGAAGTGGATGGAGTCTCTTGCATGAGCGTGGGCTGAGGAGGAGGCGGCAACGCGAGATTTGTCTTAGGCGAGTATATGTGCAGCAAAGTGTGGTGTGAAGATTTGCACACCCTGCACCTGTTCAATTTGCATTTCTTGACCGTGTGACCCTTGCGAAGGCAGTTGATGCATAAGGGCACTTTCTTGGCAAAATCGAACCTCTGCTGCACTGTTAGAGCTGCGTAAGAAGCGCAGTTTCCTACTTGATGCTCTGCTGATGTGCAAAACACACATAAGGAAGAGTCGTCCCTGGCAGCGATCAATGAAAAACTTTTATTTTCCCTCTTCTTCGGAAAAGTCTGGCTTGGCTGAACATTTTTCGGCTTGGAAGCCTCTTCGGCGACCATGTGTTGGTATCGCCTGTCCAGAGCCGACTCACATTCGCTCCAAAGAGGAAGCGAAGTATAGTCCAACTGTTCTTCCCACTTTCTTTTTGTTCCTGCATCGACTTTGCTCATGATTAGATGAATGAGGATGGCATTCGTTATACGTTTGTCATCCCCAATGGACAGCAACGAATCGTATAGAGCTCTGACTGTGTCGATCAGGTTCCTCAAGGCTGTAGCTGATGGCTGGGACATTTTTGGCAGATTAAAAAGTGTCGATATATTGTCGAAGAAAATCAGACAATCATTATCGTACACCCGCTTCAGGCTAGCCAGGGCCTTGGGATAGTTAGCCGCGGTGACTTGAAATGCCCTGACTGTGCTAGACACGATATCAAATGGTTAAATTTTTCAATATCGTGCAGAGTGTCATCTTTATCAACAAACGTTTCAAAAAGGCTTATAAAGTTTTTAAACTCGGAGTGCTTTCCGCTAAATGTTGGAAGAGACACGCTCGGCAGGCGGCATTGGGGAGTGCGCCTTGCCGGTGGAGCGGATTCATTGACGCTCGTACGCCTGCTTTTATTTATTAGAGAAATTAGCAAAGACTTGGCCAATACTGCGGTCTCTTCCAATTCTTCCCGAAACAAATCCTCTGGGTCTCTCGCTTCGATTTGATTCTGAATTGTCGAAGCATTTTCAATGTGCGAACTTAATATTTCCAAACGACATTCTAATTCGACTGGATTCAAAGATAATCTACCCTCTTCCAAATATTGTTGAGTTCGGGATATACTTCGCATAATTTCGTCTCGTTTATTTTTAAGCGCTTCGATTTCTTTGTTGCTCATTGTGATTTATTATTTGATTAAATTTGGTTTGAAATCGAAAGGCTGGGAATTAATTTTTATTCAAATAACAAAAATCAAAATAAAAAACAGTGTGTGCGTACAAAGTACACATGTCAGAAGTGAAACTTCTTTGGCGAACTAATTTATCAGTCTTGTCTATATTTATACAAATCTAAAACTTTAGATTTCCGAGACTTAAAGAAAGGGAAAAAGGAAGATATGTTAGTATTTTAATTGTCATTAAAATATTAAAAGTGTTAAAAATTAATATAAATTATAAATTTAGATTTTTAAATTTATTTCTTCAATATTTACACTATTCGACACGTTTCCTATGAGTATTGTTTTTTAAAAACAAGAAAATAGGCTAGCTTCGGCTTGCCGAATACCCTTGCAGTCATCAAATATGTCGAACAAAATGCATAAAGGCTGAACAACAACGAAGCTAGGACGATTTTGCTATTCATTATACCCTTGCAGAGCAAAGGGTACTATAATTTTGGCCAGGAGTTTGCAACGCAGTGAAGGGAGACACCTCAGACCCCATAAAGTATATATATTCTTGATCAGCATCACGATCTGAATCGAAATATGTCTGTGAGTCTGTCCGTCTGTCCTCCTGTCGGTTTCTATGTAAACTAGTCTCTCAGTTTTAAAGCTATCTCGCTGAAACTTTCGCAAAAGGTGTGCAGTTATTGCACGCAGTATATAAGTCGGAACGAGCCGGATCGGCCGACTATATCGGATAGCTCCCATACAAGAGAATGAAATAAAAGAGTGTTGCCGCGTTGTTTTTGATCAGATCGACTTGATTCCTTCCAGATGGCGTTTTCTAACTGCTATTGAATTTCGTATTAAATTTTATCAAAATCGGATAACTCTATCATATAGCTGCCATAGGAGAGATCAAAAAATATACATATAAATAATGAAAAAAATTATAATGTCGTGGTTTTTAATGCCATGAGCATGATTTTTGGAACATCAAGTTTTTTAATTCCTCTTAAATCGAGAAAAAAATTTCATAAAAATCGTAGTACTCCGATTCATATAGCTGCCATAGGAGAGATCGAAAAATCTATATATAAATAACGGAAATAAAAACATAACATCGTTGTTTTTCATCAGACAATCATGATTTTTGAAATAAAGAATTTTCTAATGAGTCTTGAGTTACAATTTAAATTTCATCTTTCTTTCTTGTTGTCTATAGATCATATGGCAGCTATATGATATAGTTGTCCGATTTTGATCAAATTTAATTCGTAATTCAAGAGTCGTGGAAAAACTTTATATTCCAAAAATCATGCTTATCCGTTGAAAAACAACGACGTTATAATTTTTTTTCCACTATTTATATATATTTTTTTCGATCTTTTGTATGGCAGCTATATGAAAGAGTTATCCGATTTTGATAAAATTTTATCCGAAATTCAATAGTAGTTAGAAAACTCCATCTTGAAGAAATCAAGCCGATCTGATCAAAAACAACAGCATGAAAATTTTTTGTTTCACTCTCTCGTATGGGAGCTATCAGATATAGTCGACCGGTCCTGCCCGTTCCGACTTATGTACATATATGTATACTGCTTGAGATAACTACACACCTTTTGGGAAAGTTTTAGCAAGATAGCTTTAAAACTGAGAGACTTGTTTACATACATAGGAACAGACAGACGCACAGACGTACATTCGTATTTCGAATCTGATCGTGATGCTGATCAAGAATATGTATGTATACTTTTTTGGGTCTAAGGTGTCTCCTTCACTGCGTTGCAAACTTCTGACAGAAATTATAATACCCTTTGCTCTGCAAGAGTATAATAATATAGTAAAAACATCTGAGAAGACAATAAATTCTTTCCGGTAAAGTTTTTCGCTTGAAAAACATGGCAATGTTCTAAAAACGGGTTGTCTCGCAGCTATTTTAACAAATAACAAGGTAGCATTTTTAAAAAAGAATAAATTTCCTAGCCCATTTTTAGCAATAGCCCCTAAAGCGCAACTTTAACAGTTATAAGTTAAAATCTGGAACTTTTATAGTTATCATTAATTTACAATGATTTTGTATAAATTTATATTGAGGTCAGGTATTTTTACTATTAACAAAAAATCACGAGGAATTTAATTTAATATTCAACATCTGACTATATTATTTTTAAACAAGAAAAGAAGCTTATGATATACCCTTGCAGTCATCAAATACATACATATGTATTTACATACATATGTATGTCGAACAAAATACAACATCGAAGCTATGACGATTTTCCTATTAATTTTCCATATTTTCGACTATTGTTTATATGGCAGCTTTATGACATGGTTATACGATTTCGATAAAATTTAATTCGTAATTCAAGAGTGGTTAGAAAACTCTATGTTCCAAAAATTATGCTTCTCTGATGAAAAAAATGGATAAGAATTAAGGTGCCAATCAAAAATAGTTAATGCATAGTTAAGCTGTAATAAGCTAATACATCAATTAAACTGTTAATATCTGTATGCAACCTGTTCAATTAGAATTTCTTTTGACACTCACACCTCTCACCCTTTTTTCTACTGCTGTAAATTAATTCGTTTTGGCACAGAAAGGATTTCGGCTTAAAAATCGTCTTCTTGCTCAAGTAAGCATACATACATACCCTGCAGTTCTGGCTGTCACCTGGCGTCTTTTGGCATACAAGCAATCAATGTGTAGAAAAGGAAAAGGGATATTCCTAAGTTTTCCCCTCTTTCTCACTCTTCGAATATGATCTCGTTGCTTCCACCCGACGGCGGCCCGACTCCAAATTTGTCTTCTATTCTTTCGTTTTTCTAATTGCACTGTTGTCATTCTCCGTTAGAAACAAAAAATTGGTTTTCGATGGAAAATACGGCTAAGGGGCGCTCGACTTATGTATACTCTTTTGATGTTAAAGTTCTTAAAATATTAAATATAATATATATATAAAGTTATATACAGATATAATATATTTTATATATACAACATTATTTAAATTATTGAACCAGGATAACCATAACATAACATTGATTGCAAATATAGATATAATATAA